TGATTCTGATTCTGATTCTGATAAGCTTATATTTCTGTTATTATTTCTGTGACCATAAGAAAAGCACAATTTTCCAACAAATAAATGTACCAGTTTTGTTCTTCCAAAAGACTCAACTATTAATCCAAAACACATTACCATTTCATGACAATCAAAGTTTTTAACAGTGTACATAGAAAGCACAATCGTTGTTTAAGATAATAAATATAAGATAGAAAGGACAATACAGAAAAAAACTCAAATGAAATTAAATACAAGAAATACATTAATACAATTTCTAAAAGAAGATTGAATTCAAGTATTTTCCGATATGTAGTTAGAATATTCAATTGCACCCATAACTGTTTATTTTATGAACTTTCATTTTATGAAGTTTATCAAATGTGTTCGAGTTGGGAAAGAAAACAGAAAATATCGCTCATTTAACAAAAAACCTGTCCCCATTAAATTCACCAAATTAACAATAAAATCAATAAACTGGATAATATATTAGGATAATAAACTGGTAATTTTTTTCTCGAGCGCCTCCCTCGTCAAATGACGTCATGTTCCTGCGACTGTTTATGTGCGATATACCGTCATGGCGCTGTTTCCAGCTTTTGCTGGTTTACAGATTGACAAAGTTGAAGATTCGTCCAAAGGTGATCACTCTTTCATGTAGCTTCTGTTTTAGCATGGATTGATAGTCCCCTTGATGCTATGTTTTCACTGTGTTGAGAAGATAAACCTGTTGAACTACGAGCTAACTCATAGTAACTGTCCTAACGTCCGTCCACCGTTGCCTTTGACTGACAGACGTTAGCGTTAGCTTATCTTCTTGTCAGTGAGTTTACATTCCCCCACACGGTTGCTTCTGAAAGCCAGGATACCTATTTCTACCTATGGCTACTATTTTGTTTGCTTCGTATTTCATGCTGTTGTCAGTCAGCTTCATGTAGACTTGATTTTAATACTATCCAGGATCCTGATCCTCTATGGCAGTGCAGGCATGCCTTTGACTCATAATCTTTCATTTCTGTACTCACTGAGTTAACTCAGTCTGGTTTCTGGCTTCCTAGACTTTGGTGTACTTATCCATCGTGTGGCTTCAGCTTCTCCATCTAATCTTCAGTACTGTAGTACGAGAGACATGTATCCCCTGCAGTATTAGGATATCATGTGTCCACATGGGATTAAAGAAAAAACAAAAGTTACAGCTGTGATACTACACCACATGTAAACACTCAGTGAGTGATACTCACCATCAACATCTCTCAGTCCTCCTGCTGATTACTGAATAACCCTTTTTTAATTCTTCTTTTAGAACTAAACTGGCTGACCAATACGAGTTTTCAGACTGGGGATGCCCTCTCTCTGCACAGTCGCTTTGTTGAGAAGACCAATGAGAGGCCGAACGAGAAGGAATCGAGGTACAGATCAAAACCCAAAGCTAGTTTCTTTGCTTGCAGACACAATACTGGACATTCCGCTTTACATGTTCAACCTTGTGGTTCGTAGCGTCTTTTAGATTTCCTCTTTATGAGAAAGCCAATGTCAGTGACACATGCTGCGATTTTATTGTTGCTTCTATACGATTGTTTTATTACATTTTCTGATCTATTTACATTACGCATTTCTCCTTTTGTTTTCAGTTGTTTCTATGTTGTCATTCTTCTTGGTTGCATCTGTTTTTTCTTCATTCTGTTCACTCTCACACACAAACCCTGTTTAGAAACTTGCCAAAATAACTTTTCCCGTACATGTATTAGAAGTACATGAACATTTGTCAAATACATTCTTGGTTTTGCTTGAGGCAGGTTATTAATGGGTAACGTTGAGTTCACCTTACAATCCTTAGTGTTGGCAGAGATGTGAGTTCTGCAGAGGAGGAGGAGGAGGAGGAGGAGGGTAATGTGCAACCTAAAAAGAAGAAAAAGAAGAGTGAAAAGAAGAAGAAAAAGAAGAAAAAACACAAAAAGAAGAGTGGGAGATATTCGGACAGCAGTGGGACAGACTCAGAAACCGTTTTCCCCAGTGACCTCAAAAGGGTGCAAGAGGCAGACAGGTATAGACGCACACTTTTACATCACACATGGTTACACTCTTAAATGTTCACACAATAGCACTGGCTTGCTTCTGTTCTGTATTGATGGTTGGCGACTGTGCTGCCATGCAGTCCCCAGGTTGCTCCGTTAGCAAGCTGTTTCTCCTGGTTGGATGACCTCCAGTTGCCCGCGAAGCAGCTATTCTGTGTGGACCGTAAAGCCGACCCAGCCAACTGGACATACAAGTCCCTGTACAGAGCAGACGTAGCCAGGTAACACACACACACACACACACACACTTACACTCTGCACCACGAGGGCAATGTCCTCGAAGTGTGATGAAACTCTCCATGTGTACCAGGTATAGGAGGAAAGGCAGCTCGTCCTTGGGTCTGGACCCCCGCAGACAGGGAGTCAGCTGGGAGGAGTCAGAGTCAAATAAGAAACATAAAGGCAGGGACAGGAAGAAAGCAGCAGACAGATACTTCTCTGCAGTCAGTCGCCAGCTGCTGAGGTCCGAGCCCCCTGCTCCCACGTTACCTAGGGTTCCTGAGCTCGGCGATGCCGTCGGCCCCTCCTCCTTCATCCCTCTGGGTGACAATGAGGAGAACAAAGGAGGAGAGACAGGTAAGAGATTTAGCCTCAACAGGCGGTGAAGGGGTAGGCTTAACCATCTCAAAAAGTAAGCCAAAAACCTGGTGTCGTTTTTTCAATACAAAAAAATGTCACGTGTCAATCCAGGTGTCAGAGTGCAGACATGGTCAGTGAATCCTCTCGGTGTGTATGACTCCTCCACGGCCCTCTGGCTGCAGGGGAAGGGGCCGACGGAGCAGACGGAGCAGCGGCAGCAGCAGGACACCCAGACGGGGCAGAGTGCGGCGCCTTTGGCCGGGAGGACGGAAGAGTTTAACAGGCGGCTCAGAGAGCAGCCAGCAGATGCGCAACTATGGATAGAATTCATACGATACCAGGTATGACGAGACTCTCCTTCTGTTACTATATAGACTGCCTCTTTGTTCCGCTTCACTTGCCTTACAATCAGCTTTGAATTGAGAGGATGTGCTGTACATTTTGTTTGTGTAAATGTTTATGTGTCAGTGCTTGCGTGCGTGGTTTGTACACTTGTGTATTACAATCAGGTTATTAAAGGCCTTATTCTACATATTTCTGATAATCAACAAATCCCAGATTAAGACAAAAACCAATAATGTGTTAGTCTGTCTCTCAGTATTTTCCTACATCTCTATCTGCTCCGAGGCCCTCAGGCCATTCATTTCTACTGAAGATGTAAATATATAAATTTATATATATATTTATATACTTTTCATTCTTTTAAGAAAGGCTTAGTCATTTCTTAAAACAGCTCGTGACTGCACAGTTTTTAGCAAATGTTAGTTAAAGTTAGGATTTCAGGATTTTATTGTCATATACACATACACATATACGAAATTTGACTTTGCACTTAACCCATCCCTAGCTTATTGGGATCAGTGGGCTGTTGAGAAGCGCTCGGGGAGTGGTTAGGGGTTCAGTGTCTTGCTCAGGGACACTTCGGCACAGGACATGTAGCAGCCAAGGATCGAACCGAAATGTTTCCTCGAGGACAATAAAGTTAAAGAAATTTAAGTTGAAACCTATGTTTGTGCACACTGTAGAACCACGGACCATCTCACATGCTGGATATCAAATCACATGTTTTCACGCCCTCTATGTTCTAACTTTCAATATGTATCGTATATATGACACCAGTGGGATAGTCATATTAGCCCACTATCATCAGCAGACCAATAATCTGAACTCTACCTGTTAATTACTTTTCAACGATTAAATGGTTCCTGAAGTTATTCCTGTGCAGCACTAATTCTAAACCTCCCTCCTCTCCCTCTCCAGGATGAGCTGAGTGCGATGGCGTTTGGAGGCGAGGAGCAGCAGCAGCAGGGCAGCGATGCGGCCGAGCGGCGTAAGTCTTCCTACAGAGCGGTCCTGGAGAAGAAGCTGAGCATCGCGGAGCGCGCAGTGGCCACCAACCACGGCTGCGTAGCTCTGCAGCTGGAGAGGCTCAGGATCTGCCAAGAGCTCTGGGAGCCTTCGCTTCTGGCTAAAGAATGGAAGAAACTGGTCAGTCTACAGTCTTTGTGTGTTTCCATGAAACTCACGCAGGGCTTCTGTATTTTGACTCCAGCTGTGGTTTATTCCTTTGCTCTAAAAAGAGTGGAAAATAGCCGTACTCTACATTTTGTTTGTGGTTTATTCAGTGTCACTCCTGTCAAGCCTCCTCCACATTTAAATGGTCACTATAACCATGTATTGAATGCTTCTCTGAGCATTTTTGTCACTGGCCAATGTTGACGTGTCTGTAGACCAAAGCTTATAGTAATTCTAATGCTAACTCCTGTTTTATCTCATGTCTCAGGTATTCCTCCACCCAAACAGTGCCCCCTTGTGGAGGGAGTATCTGCTTTTCACCCAGAGCTACTTCAGCAACTTCACCGTGTCAAAGGTCAACGCCGCGTACGGGAAGTGTCTAAGCACGCTCAGTGCGGTGCGCGACGGGAGCATGGTCTCTCACCCGGCCCTACCAGGGCTTGAGGAGGATATGTTGGGTAACAGAGATGTTGTTTAGCCTTTACTTATCCAGTGTTTCCACTACTTATTCAGTTACTCAGTTTCATCACCAGCTTCTGTCACAAGGCGGTCGCACCTGATGCATCATATACGTATTTGTTTGTATGCTCAATGCTTATTGAACGTTGATGTAATTGTTCCTGGTTGTCTTTTCTTTCTTTCTGTCCAGATATCTTCACCCAGCAGTGTCATTTCCTGCGTCAGTCTGGTCACTCAGAGAAAGGAATTTCTCTGTTTCAGGCCATGATCGACTTTACTTTCTACAAACCTGACAGCGTACAAAAACTGTCCACCAAGCAGCAGGTAAACACACACACACACACACACACACACACACACACACACACACACACACACACACACTCTAAGCAATACAACTTTACAGACTAATCCTAACTTTAATAGTCATTTGAATTGCAAATCTAAGCCAAATGCTGGTGATTAATGCAGCCAGTCATTTCTTTGCCCGGACTAAGAAATAGTCAAGCACATGACCTCCCCGAAAAACCACAACTTGTAATTTCTTCACTTCAGTTTTTGTATCTACGACGTGGTAATTAGGGAGCTTCAGAGGTGCTGGGAGGTGGATCTTGTCACCTTTGGACAGAATTAGCAGAACTTTTCACCACTTGTAGTGCTAGAGGGTGATGCTTTTACCATCGGTCTTGTTTGTATTGAACATGCACACAACGACAGACACGCAAGCAGCAATACACATTCCTCCCAATGGGTTCATGCTATTCAACTGATTGACAACTGATGCCAGTGACGTATAAAGAAGCATAGCGGTGTGCCAGCAGAGGCAGTGAAGAAGAAGTCTGCTAGCTAGCAAACATGGGTGTAAACATCTAAAACTAAGCAAGAAAGCAAAAGATGTGTACTTCCCAAAATGTTGAACTACTTCTTTAATGAAGCAGACCAGCAAAACGTGGTCATTTAGAATGATTGTTCTTTTTATGGGCATTAAAAAAAACACCAGAGGACACCCACCAGTGCGCCTAAATGAGCAGATTAAATTCTGTTTTTATGTGTGTACAGGTTGAGTTCTTTGAGCCGTTCTGGGACAGCGGGGAGGAGAGGGTTGGAGAGTTGGGGGCCAGAGGCTGGAAAGCCTGGATGCTCCAACAAGAGCGAGGAGGGTGGCTACAGCCCAGTGCAGGTGAAACACACACTGTTGATGTAAATCCTGGAATAATCTCTAAATTGATTTGCGGGCTAAAATCGTGAAAACGACAAGAGAACCAGAGTCATATTCTCGTGTGTTTGTGTGTTTGTTTTTCTGCAGAGGAAGAGGACGAGGAGGAAGAGGATGAGGAGGAGGTGAAGGATCGGAGCCAGCCCAGATGGACAGTCTGGTTGGACGTGGAGCCGTCTCGTGAAGCAGCTCACTGGCTGCCTTGGAGGCCCGACAAAGCTAAGGGCCAGTCAGAAGTGGACTGTGAGGACCCGGACAGACAGGTGCTGATTTAAAGTGTCTCCGCTCATGTGTGGCATGTGTGGAAGACCATTTACAGTGTGTGAAAATCAGAATACATTTGCCAATGTATGTTGCACATACAAGGAATTTGTCATGGCGGGTGGTGCATAACACTAAACAATCAACAACAATCAACACAGTGCAAGAAATAGAAACATATTAAAATTTACAATAGAATATAAACAAATATAAAATAAAGTGCTCAACAAACAGATAACAGGACTACAAACAAATGACTTTGTTTGACTTTTTCGTCTCCCTCTTTCTCTCCAACTGTAGGTGTTGTTTGATGACATCGGCCCATCCCTAATTTGTCTGTCTTCACCAGAGCTCCAGCTCTGTCTTCTACTGCGTTTCCTCTCATTCCTGGGGCTGCCCGTAGACTCTGTGCTCTCCGCTGCCCCCTGTCAGCCTGGCCTGCTGCTGGAGAACCTTTCTCTGCTCACTCAGGGTAAAAAAACTACAGTCCTAATAAAACAAACTAGCTATTTGTTTTTTTTGATGTTATAAACAACTTGAAGCAAATCATTGATACAAAGCTGACTTTATGTCACATCCTAGGTAATGGTCTCAAGGGTCCTCTGACCTCCCACGACCTGCCTGACCCCGGGGTTAACTCTGTGGGTCACATGACCACTCTCCAGGGAACGAGGAAGTGGGTGGGGCTTGGGAAGCAGGGTGAGAGGTTTGTCACCAACATCTTCGGTGTGGTCCAACCGGTCCTTCCTGCCCAGCACCGAGCCGCCCTGTCACTCAGCTGGATGCAGTACGAGAAACTCAAGGTAGGAGTCAGTCTACTGAACTCCAAGTTAAACGTTGGAAGTAAAAGGTCAACTTTCAAAGTCAAAAGCACTGATTTACTCGTATGTGTTTGCGTGTCAGGTCTTGCGTTGCCTGCGTGGCGGCAACAAAAAGCGGCTGCGCTCTCAGGGCAAGAGCAGCAAGCGGATTGCCAAGCAACTGCTCAAAGAACCCGACAACCGCTCGTCGTTGGTGCTGTGGCAGGAGTACGCCCGCCTGGAGTGGATGCTGGGCAACCTCGAAGAGGCCCGCAAAGTCTTCTCCACGGCCACGGCCATAGAGGGAACCAAAGGGCTGAAGAGCCCTGCCCTCTGCGAGCTGTGTCTGCTGTGGGCCCAGCTGGAGGTGGAGGACGGCTCAAGCACGCGGGGGGGAGGACTAGCAGATGTCACCGTGTCCCCAGCTGTTTGTGTGCTAACCAGGCTGGCAGAAGGAACCTCCTCATCCTCCCAGTCCCTCTCTCCGGTTTCTATCCTGAAAGCCAGGAAGTGTTATGAGCAGGCTCTGACCGCCGGCTTGTCAGCCCTGGACCAAAGCCCCCACAACCCTCAGGCCAACAGAAAAGGTTCCTTAACAACTTCTGTGTGTTTCATCTGTCACGGAGCCGCTACATGTCTTATAAAAGGCCCTTATCTGTGGTTTTGCATGTTTTGGCCCATTTTCTGCTGTTACTGCTGCTCATTTTTTCCAAACATACTGTCGCGTTTGTTTGCATTCATAAGTGCATTTCTATCAAATTCTTTGCAGCCAGTGTTTTCTAATCATTTTGGTACAGCATGAAAATCAACTTGCAAAGCCTTGGAACTTGTGCAAAATATGTAATCCATCACAATTGGGTGATTATTTGATTGTCTTTATACTTGTATATCTTTATAGTTGTCAATTAATGCAAACACTTTTATAGTCTTTTAAAAAATGGTGCTCAATAATGTGTGGTATAAAGTATGTGATTATTAATAATTGTTCTGAAACATGGAACAACAACCTTCATAAACAACTCATTATTGCCAGTTTCGCACCAGTCCAACATTTTCTCACCTGTCTCAAGTGCTGATCGGATACCGCTGCTCTCTTTTTCCTAAATTTAAAACTTCACTATGTGAAACTCATTGGAGTCATTTCCATGTAGGGTAACATGAGACCAGGGATAGCTGGGATGCTACAAGCTGACTTGTCGGCTTGTTGTGATTGAATACATGTCATTGATAGCAGAAACACTATTGTTAATGTTATTAGTAACGGCTGTACTTTTCCTACGATGACAGGTCTGGAGGTCTCCTGTGAAAAACGGTCTATCTTTCATTAATTTGATCCTCTCCTCTCATTGTTCCACCAACAGGTTACGAGGACCTGCTAGGAGAGAAGCTGAGGCTGAGAGGCCTGACAGGCTGCTACGCTCTCTTCCAGTACCTCACAATGGGCGTCGAAGCAGCTAACACTGTCTACAGCCAGGCCAGAGAGAGGACGGAGGAGCTGCACCACACGCTGACGCAGCTCAACAGTAAGGAGGAGGCCAACCTTGCTGGCACTGATGCTGGCCAGTCTGCGGCTGACTCCAGCCATGCCAGCAGGCACTATGTTACCAGGCTAGCCTCTGAGTGTGAGGCATTGGCAGTGCAGCAGGTGGCGTTGCTTTGGCACCACAACAGTGTCAGTGTGTTTCCACTGGCAACCCTGAGACAAATACTGACCTCTGCCCTCGCCACCTGGCCCGGCAGCGCCCCTCTCTGGAGCATATATATACAGGTGAGCCATTTTCTACTCGTAAGATACCAAAACTCATTTATTTTTTGCATCATCGTGGATTAAAATCAAATCAATCAGTTATTGGCAAGGAGCTTCTCTAGTTTTTGCACTTATTCTGTACCAGATGAGTCCTTGTGTACTTTGTCATAATGGCCCTCATGCGACCCGTGTTTCAGGTGGAGAACCGCTACCATAGTGCTGGCCGGGCGCGGCGGTTTTTCCACTCTGTAACCAGGCACAACAGCAGCGTGGTGCCACGCCTCTTTGCCATTGTTGCTGAACAACAAAGGAAGCAGCTGGTAGATGCTGCTCAGAGGTAAGAGCAGGAAGGATGATGGGTAGGTGTGAGGTTATCCTGCACTCATGTTGTATGGGAATAAGCATTGTAGCAACTTCTTAATCGAGATGCCATGATCATAGTTTACTCTAATCCTTTCATTATATTACGGGAGCAACTGAGAAAAAAAATCTTGGTGTTTAATGTTTATTGTCATCGTAAAAATATACAACGAAATTCAGTTGGTGACTCATCAGTCAGTTCAGCAGCAACAAGGTAAAAAAAAAAGTATAAAAACATTAAGACAAGACATTTGTTATTGCAGAAGAGAAAAGACATATTGATGTCAAAATACTCTTTTATGATTATTTATTTAAATTATTTATTTTTACATATATTTGGCATGTAACAAGTGATTAATGAGTAACACAGGATTAAAACTGGGGAAGTGTATTTTTCATTTCACTAGGTATTTAAGGAACGATTATCCTCACAAACCTTTTTCCCCAACGCTCTAAGGCAATAACACCGGAGAGAGAAAACTATTTCTCAGGGCTTAAGCCAAGAATCTATCAATCTATCACAATTACATCACTATTAATATTGTATATGTTTCTGTGGTCATTATAGGTCTTGTTGCCATGGTGCTGCCTTGCCCATCCTGCCAGAGAATGGCCTCAGCACCCGTATCCGTGGACTGTTTGAAAGCGCTATAGCAACAGAGATGGGTGCTCACTGTCCTTTACTTTGGAGGATGTACATGCACTTCCTGGTGAGACGGCAAATAACACTCACACATTCACATGTTTACTGATATTGTGAGGACACTCTATTTGCTATCCTTGACCAGTCAGTTAAAAGAAAATACAAAGAAGGGGAAATTCATAATCCTTTTTTTAACAGTTATCTAATCATACTCATAACGGCATAGTTAGACGTCAAAGGAATCAAATTTCAATAATTGCAGAAGCCTGCTGTGCCTTTAATATCACATTTCGTTCATCCTGTGTGTTACTCTCTGACCTTAAAGTGCATTATTTTTTCTCATTTTCCAAAAAATGTACTTGGTCTAAGAACTAACACGCACAGAAAGACCAGCCTATGCAGACTTACTTTGTGTAATTTGCACATATGAATATACAAATATTGACAGTCGGTAAAGTCTTATTTCTGCGCTGTGTATTTGCAGGTGTCGGAAGGGAAGGTGGATAAAGCCACAGGGATCTTCTACAAGGCCTTACAGAATATTCCCTGGGCTAAGGTGAGCTACACACAGAACAGTGATATTCCTTCACAGCAGCTGACCTCTGGCTACTTCATTTTTAAATTGTACGTATGATAAATCAATTCTCTCTCTCTCTCCTTTCTCTTTGTGTGTGTGTGTGATTGTGCATTAATGTAAATTTGCATTTATGCAAATATGTGTGTGTTTGGTGCGTGTGTGATCAGGGTCTGTACATGGACGCAGTGCAGCTGTTCCCCGAGCATCTGCAGGAGTTTGTAGATCTGATGACAGAGAAAGAACTCCGAGTCAGACTGCCTCTAGAAGAACTGGATATACTACTGGAGGACTGAACACACACGCACACACCTCATTCAAGAACATGATTTTGCTTTACTGGCAACATGCCAATGTCGGCACACTTGATGGCAAGAAAAGGAGACACACAGACACACTCGGATGTATTCACACACATTTAAAGAGTGAACTAATGATTATCCTTTGTGTTTTAGTAGCAGATACTGTTAATAAATATATTGTTCTAATTCATGTGTTGTGTAGGTTGCTTTTGCATACCTTTCAGTGCAGACACACTGAGGTTGAGGGCCCGCGTTTCAAATGAAATATCCCATTTTAAAAGTTCATGACATGTTTATATTAGATATTAGATGTGTCACTGAACCTTGGTGATAGACAATCTTACCCAGTAACCAAGAATAGAAAAGAAGAGGCTGTGGCAGTGTCAAGTTCAGGAAGTTTTCACTTTACACATGGTGATAGTTTTTTTTATTGAGTTCTAGCTTTCAGTCATTTTGTATATTCAATGTCATCAATGCGTCTGCAAAATGTGACAGAGTTTAACAATGCATTGTTGCATTATTTAAATCTAATTTTAAGATTAACATAGGGAATTCAGTTTTAAACTTATAAGTCCGTGGTAAATTTTATTAATTCACTTCCTCAACCCACCTGTGAATTACCTGGAAGTTTCATCTGCCCTATTTTATCACTCGCATCACAGAACATATTATGTACAGTGCACAGTGGCGGTGGAGTCGCTCCCTCCTGCCGTTGTTGCCGCGCCGTGGTTTGACGCATTGCAGGTCCGCCCTGGCCAATCAGCGGTCTCTGTTCAGTGTGCAGAATATTGCAGGTCTGTTCTATCCAATCATAATCCGCCTCTCAAAAGCAAAACCACAACTTCCACAGTGCCGCCAACCCAAACGTATCCTTCCGCCTGCATAAAACCCCGTGTAACGCAAATTAGTCCGTCACTTTGTCATTTTCGACATATTAAAAAAGTAGTAAAAATAGATACGAGGGAACCTCTCGTCTTTTTCTTTAAAGTCGAATGACCACTATTATGAACGACTCAATTATTGTAAAAAACAAATCCCCCCCCCCCCCCCCCCCCAGGCAGAATCCTCCTCTCTAGGCTGTATTTTATAAAACATATAACCTACTGTGATAAGGAAGATTAACGTTTTTGCCTGAAAATGCAATATTTCTGAAGGCGATTTATTTATAAATGAAGATGCTACACACACATTTGCATTAGGCCTACAATGTCAACCCATGTAGGTAAATGTAGAGGCCTGTTGCAGTTAATCGGGTACGGATTACACCAATATTGTGTTTATGACGTTGATGCTCGATGATGGGCGCCAGATTGTGTGTTTTATGATTGCATATGTTCATAACAGAAAAGTGGGCTTCATTTAATTTGGTATTGTGAAAGCCGAGTTTCACACCAGTCGATTTATCTAAATCTCTGAATACACAGCATCGAGGGTGGTTTGGGGCAAAGCAGACCACAGCCCAGGTTCACTGTATGTCATGCATGCATCTGTTAGGGAATGTGCACCACTAAAGTACAATATCAACTAAAGCAGGCCCTTCGTCGGTCGTTCCCCCTTTTTGTAAAGGGAACTTCTATTAAGAGCTCATTTTCTGTACATTTTCCCAATACAATTGTATCTAATCACATCGGAACAAACAGAGTATACAGTGCACAGAGGGCGTTAGAGGTGGTGTCAGTAGCTGCGGTCCCCAGAAATTAATCCAGTCTTTCACAGCATGCAAACTCTTTCACATAAAGTCGTATTACCGTCGCTTCTCTTTTTGAGTGAAGACATTTTTTTTAAACTAGGAAACTCGAATAATTCAAGAATAACATCCTTTTATAAAACATATAAAACATGGCACCCCGAAGACGGGTACGCGCACATCAGCAAGCTTGTATGCGCATGCACGTTTGAGGAGACGGAGCCAGGACGCCGCACTGATCGAGAGAATTTCCCCAGTGCGGAGGAATACAGTGAACCGTAC